GAGCTTATCCATTGTGAAGAAGCTTGTTGTAGCTCGACGATGATGTTAATGGTAATGATGTAATAGTGGGCGGGGGGGATAGAGCTTTGCTGAATAGCGTGCGCTTAATCTTGCGAGAGAGCGTCAATGAGAAAGGAGAGAAGGGATGAAGATGGGAGGAAATACAACGCGAACGAGAAGAACTAGAGAGTAAAGTAAGGCAGTCCCAGGTTTTGATAGCTCTTTGAAAATAGGACAGGCGAGCCACGTCTCCGCATCACCAAGCGGGCGATCAACTGTCTCAGGAGCCCTGAGCTGGCCATGCATCATTGCATGCCCCCTCCAAAACCAAAAACAACGTCGAATCAGAATCGAATGGCATCCAATGAATCTGCGGCAGACTGTTGATTTGGTCGGATAGGCCTCCCGTTTCACAGCCACAATCAACAACCTGAGCAAGACAAGCGGTAGAATGGAACCACTAAGACCACTTCCTGTATGGAGCGAGCTAGCTGTACATGGGGAGGGACCACAAGCCCCCGGGCCGTCCACAAACTACTCATGTCGGTAGTGCAACTCAAATGACGCAGCTTGATGCTTGCACACGCTGGAGCAAGTGACAAGAACGCAGTCAGTCGTGAAGCACCGGGCCATATGATTTCGTGAGGTGAGGTGTTTGGGCCCCATGGGCGTTGTCTTGGCACTTTTGGTATGAGTGCTCCTCAATTGGACCCTGAAGTTGCCCCTCACCAGGTACCCCTCCACAGCTGATCCGCCCCGACAGCGGGGTCCTTTCTGCGAGAGCCCCTGGACGATCAACGGAACCTAGCACCTTGGGTGCTTACCTTAGCTTCCTATGTCGCACCCACGGCAGCAATCTGCACACCCTCGCAAGCAGTCACGCAGTGTAGTGGCTGCAATCCATCTGCGCGGGGATGGTCTGAGTCGCCCTCTATGCAAGGACGAAGCCTGCCTAGCTGTGTGCAGCGCTCCAGGGCGAACGACATGTTTCATGAACCCCCCGCGCTTTCATGTGTCAACACCAGTCGATAGCATGGCCATGGATGCGTCAACGAGGCGAGTTCGGGTCTAGAACGGATGTAACACTCAACGCAGACCCCGAGCGTGGCAGCCCATATCACGCCTACCACAAGGAGAACGCTGGGCAGCCCAGCTGTGGCTGAGGTACATAGCCTGTCAATGCCAAATGCTGATCCGCTTCAAAGCATCAGGCACGATGCAATGCCTGCCGCCCGCCGATAGACAGGCTACACCTCCTAATAGCCGGTGCCGGGGTCGAATCTTGACCGCCGGCCGAAGTGCGATAAACAGGGCCGCACGTCCGGGTAGATCCCGCCCGAGCCGTCACGGACATCAACTGCGTCTGACTCGCCTGACCGGACGATTACCCCGTCCGTTTTGAAGCAATATGGCTTGGAATAGATTCTGCTGTCGGAACTGCTCTTGCCAAAACTATGCTCTTCCTCCTTCCCATGACCTAATCGTCTTCAGGTATCTTGATTGCTGTGAAATGACAAAGCTGGAAACATGGCAAACAGCTGCATGTCCGTCAAAGTTGATATCCTGCGCCGTGTCTTCTTCCAGACGCCAACTCCGGTGCATGTGGAATGACCACGCCCAGGGCAGCCCTCGTGGGCACTTGCCGACCAATGCGCCAGTGGTGTCTCATTAAAACTTAACCTCCGCCATGTTCAACTTGCAACGATCCTGAATGATGAGCGCTGTTGTTACCATGTCGGTTCTTCTTTTCCTTCTTGGCCCATCTAAGGCCACACGCGTTGCATAACGTTTTCGGTCCACTCGGGCCTTTGCGCCATTCCGGAGAATCCAGGGTACCTGATCAGATTATCATCGTTAGCCGGCGTGCTGCGTGCATCTTGCCATCCCAAGCGGACTGCAAGTCGCATCCAAGTCGGAGCTTACCACAGTCCGTGCAGACATATTCCTCCGAAGTCTTGAGCTTCTTCTTCTTGTCACCTGTCCGAGGGTCCCGGTCCTGTGGAATTGCAATGCCCGCGTCACCCTTGATCAAGGTCGGACTCGCGTTTCCAGTCGTGATGCCGCGGCTCCTCTCGCCCTCGATGTATCTCAGTCCAGTCAACATCTCAATGGTATCAGTGTGCGAGTTCCCTTCATATCTGGCCATCTTGTCCTTTAGTGAATCCGGGCGGCTCCCCGCCACACCCTCCAGTGCCTCGCGTGTAAGCGCAACGTTGAGGGCCGATGACCGGTCGCCTCCGTCACCCGCTCGAGATATGGCGCTCGGGGCGGATGTCATTGTGGTTTCCGATGGTGTTACGTCCGACCTGCCTTCTTGGCTCTGGAGCCACTGCCTCTGTGATTCTTCATTCTCCATCTCTTCCTCCTTGCGCAGCTCAGCGATGCGCCTCCTCAAACGTTCGTTCTCAATCTTGTGTTCCAGGAATGAGTCCAGTAGGCCGGCATTCTTCGTTGGGTACGGGCGCGACATCATGAAGACGGCTTGGCAAAATGGCGTTTGATTGTGCGGATTCGGCGCAAATTTGGATGCGGCGATGTGGGCATGACCGACCGACTCGAAAATGGCGTATTTGCCGTCCTTTTTCTTTAGCCTGAAGAACAAGCGTAGCGGGTTTCCTGATGCTATAGACTCGTTTAGCTCGGCGACGTAGACGCCCTGGTCGTCGGGGTGGACGAGTTCCTTGAGGAATGTGTCGAGGATTTCGTCGGCGGTGTAACCCGTAAGATTTAGAATGCTCGGGGAGACGAAACGTATGCGACCATTGGCGTCGAGTATCTGGAGAAAGTCTTTCAGCTCTTCGACGACCTTTGCGGGCCAGTTGCGTCTCTTTGTGAATTCGGTGAGGGTGCTGCCGGCCTGCTGCAAAGCCTGCGAATTGAAGCCGCTAGAGGGCATGGGACCCCCACCAACTACGCTGGAGGCATCGTCGCCATTGTTGGAATAATTGTTATTCATGGAGGGGGTATCGTCGGGGAGGCCGTCGGGCATTGGTGTATTACCGACAAAGTTGAAGGTAGACATGGCGTTCTCGTCGTTGGGGTTGTCGACACTCATGGACATGGCGTCAAAGCTTCCGTAGACTGTCGAGTCCAGGAGAGACGACATGATATTGGGGTCGGCTTCCGCCATCTGCATTGCGTCAGCGCGTTGTTGGGAGCGGTCTGTAGCGAATTGTAGTTATGGGGGGTTTCTCAAAATAATGCGCCAGGGGGTCAGGCGGGTCAGAGGTCGGAAGGGGTGACGGAGAGGAAAGGTAAGCGAGGCGGTCGAGGGGAAGAAAGTGAGTTATCAGATCAGGAGGAGGAGCATGGCTAGGAAAGTGGGCGGGACGAACAGCTTCAAAGGCGGAATAGGCATCTTGGGGCCCAAAGCCAAGAAAATTGGTTGGAGGCTGAGGTGGTCCGTGAGACATGGTTGCGGTACTGTTCCGGTACTAGCCTTGACGGCTTCTAACAAAGGCATTGGCGATTTGAGGGGGCTGATTTGATACCGATGCGCGGGAGGTATTCCCGGGGGGTGCAGAATGCGGTCCCCTTCACCTCGCGGCCAATGTGCGGTGGTAAGGTAGGTAGGTACTGCAAGTCGGCTGGGTCTATTCGTAAGGCATGTACCGTCTCGTGCGTCTGTTGGCAACTCAACCTGCGATAAGATGGTTGCTTGCGCCTGTGGCTGGAGCGAGGACCAGGTTCAAACTGGGGCCAATGCCAGGTACAACCAGCAAGCAGCTTACTGGGTAAGCAACAACGATGAGCTGTGAAGGCGCGGGAGAGTGAGCTCGTTGGTCTAAGTCGCGGGGACCGTCGTATGGGTATAAGCAACAGATGCGGGGAGTAGGAACTGGTGATCCGGAGAGGCCTAGAACCCAAATAGATCAAGATAGAATGTAGGGCGCAAGCTGGTACGGGGCGTTGTGCATCGAGTAGTGGGCTTAGCCTTGCATGTCTATTTGGCCAGAACGTCTATTTTGTTTTTTCTGTCGAAAAGCGTGCCAAAGAATGGGAGTCGAAGACGACGTCAGAGTGCGTGCGGCGGATGCAACAGAGTGAGGGTATAGAGAGAAAAAAGCGGACGGCAACCAGATAAGGTGGACGGGGATGGTTGTGTTGGTGGTATGTTTCTCTGTGAAATGTTTCCAAGCGACGGGGTCTCGTAGCAATTAATAAAAAAGGCCAGATGGGTTTGCAGCTGCGAATGAGTATCGGTACAGAGGCTGACTATGCCTGTCTGGTTCGGAGCGGTGCAAAAGGAAGCGAGGGTTCGGTAGCGGCAGCAGTACCTAGTAGTACACGAGGCCAGTTGTCGAGGGAGTGAGTGAGGGAATGCGCTGAGTGTGCGGATGAGTGAGTTGAGCTTTTGAGTCGGGGGCCGAGTTGGAAGGCCAGATCAAGTTGGAGTGCAGGAGTAGAGAGCCCGTGGCTGCGGTCCTTGTCTTGGCTGCTGTGAGACGCTTTGCGAGGGCTGGATTGGGTTCCGTCAGGTTGGCACGCAGGTCATAAGGTGAGGTCGAGTCGCGGCTTGGCCTGGCCAGCGATGCAGGGTCGCGAGGGAAGATCAGAAGCTGCGTCGGAATGGGGGAGTGAAATGGGATGAGAGGGAACGGATGAGGAGACTATGTTAATGGGGGGAAAAGATGGAAGGGGAAAAAATAGGTTGAGACGTGAAAGTGCGAGCGAGGCACACGAAAGTGCAGTGCAGGAAAGGAGAGAGAAAATAAGGTCAAGTCGTCACCATCCAAAATTTTGGCAGGGACAGAATGGCTACCTTAAACTGGGATGCGGAAGGTGCAGAGCTGCGAGCCTGCACGTAAGGTACTGAGCTCCGTAATGTAATGTAAGGTAAGGTAAGGTAAGGTACGGATACGGATGGAAGGAAAGAAAAAAAGGGCAGCGGTAGCGGTAGGTGAGGTCAGGTAGCGGAAGCAGCAGGAGCAAGAAACAATGGAAGAAGCAGGGACCTGAGATGAGGTGGGAAAAAAGGATGGGAAACTGCAAAATGGAAACGGAGCACATGGCAATTCTGGCTATGGACTTTTTCCCACCTCAAGCAAACCGTCGCTCACTGCACCGCTGGTCCGCTGCACCCCTCCACCGTCGCAGGCGCAGGCAAGTACGAAGTACTCCGTACCTATCTCAAGGAAGGCAGGTACTTCATCATCGCACCCGACCCTGCCTTCCTTGCATTGGGTTGGGTCACTTGGCCATTCACATTGGGCGCCGGGCCTGTGTTTACTGAGACTGAGGCACTTCGTAGTTCCTCTCCACCCAATGAGTTCCCTCCAACTTCCCCCTCTTCCCCCTACCCCCCATCTGGCACATAACCTCACTCACTCCAAAGCCGTACGGAGGAGTCAGGACACTAGGTACGGATGCCTTACCATAGGTAAATTCCCCCTCCCAATTCCAGACCTCCATCCTTTGAACCCCGCCGAAAACTCTCCATGTCCCATCCGACACCTCTGCTTTAAGTATCTTTTGTACAGCGTATCTCATGGGAAACCGCACCTCACCTTGGCTGACCTTACTTGCTAGCAGACCTTACCTTAAGGTAGTGTGAAGCAGCCCATGGCAGGCATGAATAGACATGGCATCATCTACCTTACCTTGGCTCACCTTGGACACCATTCCTACCTGACCTTCTCTCACCTTACCTTACTGTATGCCTTGGGCGCCGCAGGTCATGCGTCCGGCATGCACGGCCCATGCCCAGCAGCCAGCTCCATCAAAAGTAGTTCCAAGGCTGATGCCCTGAGAACTCAGCACAACGATAATCCCCTCACAGCTCCTAGGCCATCCCGACGGGTCGACCAACGGATCAACTGGGATAGCGCTGCCCGGAGCAAATGCCCCGACCTAGAGCCATTTGTGACCCCGTCTTGCACTGCAATTTGAGCGGTCAAAGGCTTGCTCCGACCCAGTGGGGCTGACTTGGAGTTGGACAGTATTGTGTATGTACCTAACTAGGTAGACCTGGATGTCGTGGGCTCGTGGCTTATTTGGTACGAACCGTATCGAACCATGTATCCGCTATCTGTCTCACGCCTCACGCCTCACGTCTTGCGCCTCACACTCGCGAGCGAACCGTGGCTGGCACTTGGCAGTTGTCTTTTGAGCAAAGCATCGGCTCAAGCCAAGTGGCCCCAGATACACTATCTGTAGAGAAACTGCAGCATGTCAGTAGTCTTCATTCACCCTCCGTCCCGTTAACCAGACGAAAGTCAGGTTTGCTGAGGATCAAAGTCAGAGCGTCACGTCCGGAATGCGTGCCTAATATGCACAACCTTCTTCTGAAGACTTCTTCTGAAGACTTCTTGCTGAGCGGGCATGCTGCGCTTACTCCAACCTGCTGCTTGTTCGATCGCTCTAGGCCTTGACTCGAGTAATGTTCCCTGCAATCCACCAGAAAGGACTATGGATATGGCGTATTCGCATTGTAACATTACAAAACTCCATCTGATATTCGACGGAATCTGCTAAACCACCTTAGGACACAACCCTGCTTGATAGTACCTAACCTTTTGACGCAAGGTACCCAGTGATGTAATGAAGCAATAGCATCAATTGCGCAAATGCCTCGGAAACATGCCGTTTCACAAACAGTTGAAAGGTGAACCATTCCAGTGCGCCTACCCAATCTACCTTTCCTTATGGATAATGCGGGCATTCATGGCCAAGGTAATGAGGATATCGTCTGACAAAGGAAGAAGCCCAAGTTGTCTCAATGACGTTGTGCATGCACCGTCTCTGCCTGGTACCTAGGAGCTCTCCCAAAGTAGTCCGATCTTAATTGGCGCCCCAGCCGAGGAAGTACCTAAGGTAGCTTGAGCTGTATGAAGACTCTCAGAAACCACCCCCACTTCAGATTGCTCTGCCCATCTTATCAGGGCGCACACACACAAGAGATGGAATATTCAAAAGATGGTTTTCATCTCAACTCTTACTTTGCTGTACTTAGTGGTCCCGTGATATTCGGGGCGTTTCTAGGTATCGAAATCTCTGTATCTATATCGAACCTCGCATGTTATGGCCCGTAGGGTATCTGAGGAGAGCGATGGTGCGGAGGATCAGTCATCAGCGAGACTCGGATAGAGCTTCTGTATCCGTAGCGTTTGTTTCTTGCTAAGGTAGGTGCCTCGAGCCGGCAGCGGCTTACATAAGGATGTATGCGAGGTCACGCTTTTTCGCACCTCCATCAACGCGTGCCTGGCTGCCGGGAAGGCGCGTCCTCCTTGGGTGCACGTCCCTACATCCTGCATCCCACCCAAGGCACCTACCCGCCTCTGTGCCGACCTCATTGGAGCCTGGACGGCGACAACGAGCCACCTTTAGGAGCAGCCTACCCACCGAGAAGACAAAAAGGGCTGCTTTTCTTGCCAGATTCTCGTATCGGTCCTAGGTTTTAATGTCAACGTCTTCTCAAATTGCGCCTCATTGATCAGCCCAATCCTACCTCATCGCATGGCATTGGTCCCGAGTCACCATGTCTAAGATCGACAAGCTATCCATCCAGGGCATCCGCTCCTTTGGTGGTAGCAGGGAGACGATTTCATTCTACACTCCCTTGACCTTAATTGTCGGTTACAACGGCTCGGGTAAGACGACCATCATCGAGTGTCTCAAGTATGCGACCACTGGTGAGCAACCTCCGAACAGCAAAGGCGGTGCTTTCGTCCATGACCCCAAGGTTTGTACCTCATTCTTACGTCCAACTCACATAGAGAGGCTAAAATGCTCTAGCTCTGCGGAGAGAAGGAAGTCTTGGCCCAAGTCAAGCTTGCCTTCACATCGACTAGCAGCCACAAATGCGTCGCGACACGAAGCCTCCAGTTAACCGTCAAGAAAACCACTCGATCACTCAAGACCCTCGAAGGATCATTAGTTTACAACAACCATGGCGAGCGCACTGTTATTTCATCCAGGGTCGCCCAGATGGACGAGTTCATCCCAAGAGAATTGGGCGTTTCCAGAGCAATCCTCGACTACGTCATCTTCTGCCATCAGGACGAATCTCTCTGGCCCATGAGTGAGCCTTCGGCCCTAAAGAAGCAGTTTGACCAGATCTTCGAAGCGATGCGATACACCAAAGCCATTGACAACCTAAAGGTCCTCAGAAAGAAGCAAGGCGAAGAACTGGCCAAGCTCAAGATCTTTGAGGAGCAAGACCGAATCAACAAGGAAAAGGGCGACCGTGCCGAGAAGCGGTCTATGGCATTGCAGAACGATATCGAGAGCTCCAGGGATAAGTGCAATGCTCTCACGGAAGAGATGGAGGAGCTCCAGGGGCAGATCCGCGAGAAACACGAGCAGGCCAACAGTTACTTGAGCATCGTCAATGACCTCAAATTCAAGAGAGATCAGCTCAGCTACCGCGAAGGATCTATCGCGGATATCAAGATGACCCTTGAGGAGCTTTCCGAGACCGACGAGTACCTGGAGAATGCACTCGCACAGTACGAAGAGCGCATGTCTCGGTATCAAGAAGAGTCAGAACAAAACAAGGCCCAGTATTCGGAGCTGCAAAGGGACCTCACCCAATCTCGTCGAGAACATTCAGCGAAGCTCGCCGAGCAGGGAAAACACCAATCTGACAAGGACAAGTATGAACGGCAACTTCAATCCCGTATGCAATTGGTCCGAGATACAGCAGAGCTTCACGGTTTCCGCGGCTACGATGGCGATTTGAAAGACAGTCAAATCAAGGCTTTCAACGAGCGCATTCAGAAGCTACTAGCTGAGAAGAAGCGTGATCTCGATCGTCTACAAAAGGAGAACGCGCGTGAGCTAGACGAGGCGACCAAGGTTATTACTGAGCTGGAGGGCCGCAAGGCAACCACGACGCAAAACCGTGTGTTCGCCAAGCAACGAATGGGTGCCATTGAGAAGCGGACCAATGTCTTACAAATGGACATTAATCGTCTGGACATTGACGAGGGCGCCAAGGCCATTTTAGACAGCCAATTTGAGGATGTCGAGGGCAGATTGAAGAAGGCTCAGGAGTCCTTGAGCAGTGCCGACTACGATACTCAGCTCAAGTCGGAAAACGAGAAGCTGTGGCAACTCGAGAGCGAGACGGAAAAACTTGGACGCGAATTAATTGAGTGCACAAGACTTGCCTCGGAGCGGGCACAGCTGGACTTGAGAAAGAAAGAGCTGGCAGATCGCAAGCGAAAATTGGAGACTTTAGCCACCACATGGAAGCCTAAGCTAGACACGCATATCGGCACTACCTGGCAGACCGACACTCTCGAGGCCCAGTTCCACGATGCTCTGAAGCGCCAGAACAAGGTTGTTTCTGAAGCTCGCCAAAAACGGGATACTGCGCGGGACAAGCAACAGAAGGTCGACTTTAGACTCAAGAGCGCCAAAGACATTGGTTCCAGAAAGACCGATGAGGCGCAACGCTGTCGGACTGCGGTCGTTGGCGCTTTGCAGACGGTCCGAGACGGTGCAACAATCGAGGATTACGAAGAAGAGGTCAAGATGCATGAGGAAGACGTGGAAACATACACCACTGATATCAGCCTCCTTGACGCTTTGGCGGATTACTACCGCGGTTGCCAAAAGACCCTGCAAGACAAGAACAAATGCCGGCTGTGCGACCGTAACTTTGATGACAAGTCCAATGTCTCCAAGTCTCGCTTCTCAGACAAGTTGATCAAATTTCTCGATCCCAACAAGAAGGAGAAGGCAGAGGAAGATCTTGCCAACTCTAACGCCCTCCTTGGCTCGCTGCGAAAGGTGAAGACGCAGTACGAAACATACCAGAGATTGATGTCGGAGCTGCCTCCTTTGAAGGAAGAGGTTGCCTCTTTCGAAGCCGAGTGTGAAACTCTGGGCCGGCAGCTCGAGGAGCATGACGCCGCTGTCAGCACCGAAGAAGGCAAATTGAACGACATAGAGTCTCTCAACAAGACTGTCATCAACATCACACAAGTTCTGAAGGACATCAAGGACTCTGAAGCGCAGGTTGACAGAATCATGTCGCAGCAATCATCTGGCAACGTCAGTAGGAGCGCTGATGAAATTCACGAGCTCCAGGCTTCATGTAACGAACAGATTCGAACGATAAAGGGCAAGATTTCAAAGACAACGACGGATTGGCAGCGGATGAGGGACCAGGTGAACTCTCTCGAATTGGAGAAGAGCGAGCTCCGGAACAAGTTGAGCAAGGCCTTGAACCAGCTTGAGCGCAAAAAGGACTTCCTGAACCAGATTCAGACTCTGAAGGAAGATCAGGCCCACCAACGAGAGTTGATCAACACCGCCGACCGGGAACTGGAATCGATCGAGCCGGAGATCGCCGAGGCCAGATCAGTCCGGGACGAAACCTTGCAACGCGGCCGTGGCAAGGAACAGGCTGTTGCCGAGGAGCGCGATAAGGTTGCCGACTCCGTCACTGAGTTCAAGATGGTTGAGAGTGATATTCAGGAGTACATTGACCGGGGCGGCCCTTCCAACCTGGCAGCAAACCAGCGTGCTATCGCTAGTCTCGAGAAGTCGATTGCTGGCCTGGAGAAGGAGATTTCAGACTTGACCGTGCGGACGAATAAGTTGAAGCAGGACATTGATAACGGCGATCGCAAGAAGCAAAATATCAGCAATAACCTGAAGTACCGCCAGAACCTGCAGCAGCTCGACATCCTCCGCCGAGACATTGCAGAGCTGGAGTCTCGTGACGCTGACGAGGATTACAAGTCGCTGATTTCCGAAGCAAAGCACTTGGAGAACCGCCACAACCGGCTTGTCGCCGATCGCGGCTCTATTATGGGACAGATGAAGACAAAGGACGAGGAACTCGAGCGACTCCTGGAAGAGTGGCAACAGGAGTACAAGAACTCTTCCAGAAAGTATCGTGAGTCGCACATCAAGGTTGAGACAACCAAAGCTGCCATTGAGGACTTGGGCAGGTACATTTCGGCGCTGGACACGGCTATCATGCGGTACCACAGCCTCAAGATGGAGGAGATCAACCGCATCGCCGGCGAGTTGTGGCAGAGCACGTACCAAGGTACGGACATTGACACCATCCTCATTCGTTCCGACAATGAGAACGCCACGACGGGCCGCCGCTCGTACAACTATCGCGTCTGCATGGTTAAGCAGGACACCGAGATGGACATGCGCGGCCGCTGCTCAGCAGGTCAAAAGGTCCTCGCCAGCATCATCATCCGCCTCGCGCTGGCCGAGAGCTTCGGCGTCAACTGCGGCCTCATCGCCCTCGACGAGCCGACGACCAATCTCGACAAGGACAACATCAAGAGCCTTGCTGAAAGTCTGCACGCCATCATCAAGGCGCGTCAGGCGCAGAGCAATTTCCAACTCATCGTCATCACGCACGACGAGGAGTTCTTGCGACACATGCGCTGCAGCGACTTCTGTGACAGCTTCTTCCGGGTCCGGCGGGACGACAAGCAGAACAGTGTCATTACAAAGGAGAGTATTACCAGAGTCTTGTAATGAGATCCATCTGTTCATAAGGCGTTTATATGGGAAAGGTATGGGAATCCAGGGCTGCTGCGTAGTGGACCATGGAATAGCGCATGGCGTTTGGGGAGGTTTGTGTTTGTCTACTACTTTGTTTTCTTTCGCCCATGTAGTCAGAGAGCTACACGAACACTACCTTGCCACTAGAGTTGGCAACGATATCGCTGAGAATTCTTTTCCCACCCACTCATGCTTTTCGTGATGTTACCTCTCTTATCTCTCTCGTCAACATATCATGTCTTAATTTGATTCCATCACATGTCGATACTTAGCGCCAGTTCGACCGAAACTCACGACGATGCTTCAAATCTCAAATTCACAAGAACGACAAACATCAAGGTTTGGTGAAGACGGTTTCTTGGTATCATGTAATCATCCGCAACACTACTCACTCATTGAGCGAAAGATCCTTTCCGTTCCTTCCTAAGCGCCCCCTGCTTTGGCGGCCATCTCGGCGTCTTTCGCTTTCGCTGCCGCTGCCGCTGCTACCGCCGCAGCCTCATCCGTCGCATCATCCTTCTTGGTCTCCGTCTCCTCATCTTTGCCTTCCTCAGTCTTGGCCACATCAGGCTCGTCCTTCTTCGCATCATCCTCCTTGGTGTCGTCTACCTTTGGCGAAGTAGGGACCGTAGCATCCGTTGCTTCGCCCGCAACGTCACCCTCGTGCTCCTTGACCTTCTTGCTCGCCAGACCATCGAGCTCCTCGTCAGCATCACGCTTAGGATGCGACGTGACGCTCGTATCGGATGCCGCGTCGTCGACAACCGCGTCCGCCGTCGTCCCATCTTCCGTCGCGGCATCACCCTCCTTGACATCCTCGGGAGGAGGCGTGGCGGCTTTTCTGCCCACCGCAGCCTCAACATCAATGCCCTGCATGTCAAGACCGGGCCCACCGCCCACAAAGCTCGTCGTCTCGCTTTGGGGACCGAGGTCGCCAACACCAATCTCCTCGGGACCGCGAGCGTGCGGCGCCTCGTTCTCGTCTTCAGCAGCGGCAGCAGCACCGGCAGCGTCCTGCTGCTCATCATCCTGCTGCTGCTTCTCGGGGCTACTGGCTCTGCCGCCGTCCCCGCTTCGCAGGGCGGCGGCGTGTTGTGCTTCTTCTGCTTGTCGCACGAGTTGGTTGACTGGAACGACGCCCTGCTCCTGCTCTTGTCGCAGTAACTCACCTTGTGTTATCGCGCGGCTGCTGCTGGCGCCCATAGACGGTATGCCGTTGACACTAACGCTGACGGTCTCGATACTTCCGACTCCATTAGGGCCATCAATGGTCTCCGTTGACTCGGTACGAATCTCGGCCGGTCCACCGCCATTTGAGGAGGCTGGCGAGGATGAGCCGGGGCTCGGTCGGCGTGTGAGCCACGGGATCGGGGTTAGTAGGGCGCCGCCGAGGGCTTCGTCTGTGCCGACGGTCGAGGCGACCGAATTTGTCGAGTTGCTCCAGGCCACCGAGGCCGCTGGGTTGTTAACCTCCTGGCCGTTTGCGCTGCCATTGGAGAGCAGTGTCATGGTGGACATGTCGGGAATGGCTGGCGGAAGAGGGTAGGTGTTTGCGCCGCTGGTGACATGAACGACGCGGTCGACGGCATGGAGGTACGATGCCAGGTGACGGTAATGGCGGCGCGGCTCGAGGACCAGCTCGGCAAGGCGCTGGATCGTGTGCGGCGGGTATTTCGGGAAGCTGGCCAAGACAGTGTTGATCTCGTTCAACATGGCTTCAATCTGTGCGGGGAGCGATCCCGAGGTGGTGGCGGGGGTTGCGTCGGCATCAGTAGCGCTTTCGACCGTGGCCTTGGATGGCGATGCATCTTTAGGCTGGCTGTTCTCCTTGTCGGCATCCTGTGATGACGGCTGGCTACTGGCGGGATCGATGGATGATGATGGGAGCGGCGAGAGGAGTCGTGGTTGTTGGCCTGGCGCGTTAATGGGTTGAGGAGGGGTGGGTAGGTTCGGAATAGGGAATTCATTGTGGGCGATCTAGACATTCGCGATGCGAACTGGTGAGCGCGCCCTACCGAGGAGATTTCGTCTTTCATAGATGTATGATGGTGGGATTTCCCGGTCGAAGCCAGACCTGGGGGCGGACGTACCTTATCTAGCCTCGAGATGATTCCTTGCGACAGAGCGGGCCATAGACCGCTGATGCGCCATGCAATTAGCAGCTGAACAGGGAATGGATAGAGAAGACAACAAGTTCACGTACTAGTCCATTTCGCCACCTGTCGCGACCGTCCGCAAGAGATCTTCGTCGACCTCGATCTCCATTCTGGCGGGTATGGGGTGTTGGGCGAAGTGAGTGGTGGTTGAAAGGTTGAGCCTCCCACTGACGTCGCGTGCTTGTGAAAAAGCGCGACTCTAGCTACCTACCTCAGGGAACTTGGGGGGTCTTGGGGTAGGTGTATTCGTAGGTACAATGCGTCTAAACGAGTTGGCAGCTTCCCGCTCCAAGCTCCAAAGTTACCGGCAGTACATGCAAAGTCAATGCAAATAAAGGTTGAGCTTCGAGTGCAACTCGCCGCATTCTCGACCACTCCTCTTATTATGGCCTGCAAGACAAATGTGACAACAAGCATGTCTATGCATCTTAAATTCATTCCCTACGAACCACAAAACGCAAAAATTGAAGCTAATGATCGATGCAGGGATCGAACCTGCGATCCTCTGCGTGTAAAGCAGATGCCTTAAACCGCTGGGCCAATCGACCGGATGCTTGTTGTTGCAATTTTCCGCTGGCTGTGTGCTGAAGTTCCTTGTGGAGTGGAGCCGAGTCCGCCATGCGAGCTCCGTACGTCACATCCAGCGCTTCAAAATTGCCAGAGCTTCCGACTGCCAGTCAGTAACACACACACACATCAACCCACAACGACACGATGCGAGGACTCAGAGCCCCCAATGCCCTCCTTAGAGGTGCCAATGGCATTCTGCTAGCTTCTCAAAGGTGATACGCCACGTCAGCCCAATCCAGGCGACTTCAATTGACTCGAAACAGCAGCACAATCCAGGCACCGCTCGCAGCTCGCCTGATGATATCCTCAACCCTCCGCCCGCAAAACAACACCACCACCGCCGCCGCGACGATCCGTCCCTTCTCCCACTCAACAACCCTCCAAAAGAAGAAGAAGAATGAGCCCAAATACCCAACAGCCGACTCCCCCGCCGTCGTCTCCCGCACCTCCCACACGGCAGACGAAGCCGACACAGACGACCTCCCGGGTTCCAAGCACCCGAAACCTGACCCGACAGACCCCCTCAACTTCGCCGACGTCGCCTCCCGCTTCGCCTCCCTCTCCTCCCACCATACCGAGATCCTCAAAAAGCTCCAATCCGGCGACCGCTTCTCGCCCGACGCCATCGGCGCCCTCGCCATCCAGCCCGACCGCAAAGACCCGACGACCTACCCCCTCCGCGAGCTGGCCGAGATCGTGCCCCGCCCCGGAGGGCGCACCGTCAGCCTCCTCTTGCACGACAAGGACTACGTCAAGCCCGTCATGGCCGCCGTCCAGGCCTCACCCGACTTCAACCAGCAGCCGCAGCGCGACCCGGACAACGAGCTCGAGCTCGTGCTGAAGGTCGAGGCGACCAACAAGGAGGTCGTTGTGCGGAGGGCAAAGGACGCCGCGCAGGCGTGTCGGGACAAGATGCGCGTCGCGACGGAGAAGAGGAAGAAGCTGCACGCAAAGTGGGAGAAGGAGAAGAGCATCGTGCCGGACCTCAAGAGGAGGGCGGACAAGGAGCTTCAAAAGGTGCAGGATAAGGAGATGAAGGTTGTCGATGCTGCTGAGCAGCAGGCTGTCAAGAAGTTGCAGGCCTAGGTTGCTTTCAAGTTATTGAGCTCAAAAGTCTTCGACGGGTCACATTCGAAAAGGAGATGTTTCTTAGCCCATATATAACGAGGTGGGTTGCAACCAAAAAGAGTCTCAGGAGAAAAGATTCAATCCGTAGTGTACAGTAGAGGAGGCTTTCGGATCTAGTTGTACAATATGTATTTTTTTTGGCTGTACCAAACCTCCCATGTTTATAATCCTACAATGAACCCCCGTCTGAATTTTCGTCTTCACTCTTCTTCCCGTACTTTCTACCGTCCTTGCTGATATTACAATCTCTTGGAAGACGCAAGCTGCTCTTTTAAGCCCTCGCAGCTTTGCCTCCCTTGGCGGCACCAGCAGCACCCTTCTTAGCAACAAGAGCTGCAATCTTGTCGTCAAACTTCTTCATATCCCCCGCCACATACGTCTCGTTGTGCAGATGCGACTCTTTAGCCATGTTAACCGGATCCCGGCTGCCGCCAGGCACGAACTTGGGACCAACGTGCTGGCCCTTGACGGCCCGCTCGAGGATATAGTCCCTCACGGCCTTGCTCGCGCCCTCCTCGAGCTTCACCTCCCGCACGGCGTGAACGTGGACATCGTCGTCGACGACGCCCGCAATAGCATCGGGCTTCTCCTCCGCCGCCGCTTTCTCGCCCGTCCTCTCCTCGCGCGCCTCGACAAACGCCTTCTTCTCCGCGCCGTCGGCGAAGAAGTACACGCCCCGGTCCCGCGTGTTAGCCAGCGCCTCGGCCGTGTGCCGCACGTCGCTCCACCGCTCGGGCGTGTAATCCGCCGCGCCGGCGACCTCCCGCAGCGAGCTCAACACCGTCGCCGCCTGCACGACGGGCTGCGCCGCCGACGAGAGAGGCATGGCGGGCCTGAAGCCCAGCAGGTCGCCGACGCTGAGGCTCGGGGTGTACTGCTCGGGCGCGCCGTTGCGCTTCGAAATGTACGCGCGCTCCTCGGCCGTCTCGGGCCGCCAGAACTTTTCGATTTTGCCCTTCCAGCCCTCAGGGCCCTGCCCAGTAGGCTTCGGGCGGTTCTCGCCGTCTTCTACGCCCTTGCGTCCGCCCCGGCCTCCGCCGCGACCTCCACGGCCTCCACGACCACCGCGGCCGGCTCCGCCGCGACCGGCACCACGACCCCTGAAGCCGCCGCCACCTCCGCGTCCTCTGAAACCACCACCTCCCTCGCCTCCTCCACGGCCGGCGAACCCTCCACGGCCAGCGAAATCTCCACGTCCTCCACGAGCACCGAAGCCCGCGCCAGGACCACCGCGACCACGTCCGAATCCGACAGGCGCCTTGACGAACTTGACCGCACCGCCAGATCCAGAAGGTCCATCAAGGCCACCAAGCCGAGGCCTCTCAGCAAGGCCCCTAGGCTTCTCATCGAGACCCCTGGGCTGAGAAGCACCAGCACCAGCACCAGCAGCATTATTCACAGGTCCACCACGCAGAAGCTGTCCAATCTCGCTAGCCGCGGCGCGGGAGCGCTCTCGTCCGGTCAATTGAGGCCTGTTGTAGGCTCGGGAGGAAGATTTGTCGCCATTGTCGTTTCTGTTCGAGTTTGATGAAGAAGATTCGTCCGCGGGACGCAATTGCGTCGTGGAAAAGGTTCGGATACAGGTCTTGATTGCGACCACGTCGGGTTTGAGGCGGCTTCTCGCCGATCGCAGCGCCGATTGATGCATTTTCGGGTGGAGGGGCGCGAATTGAGTCGACGGGGATTTCGCGATCAATGTCTGTCGAAAGTGGTGAGCTTCGTCCCTGGCCTTGAGGTTGATCTTGCCATGAGCTTGCTCTGGCAGAAAAATCTTCGTTACGTAAGCGTAGTAGACATGGTCCGTGTCCGGCTTAGTAGACCAAGGATCAACCACAGGCAAGTCGATGACCGTGGGTTAGTTCACAACGACTTTGAGAGACTTGCACAGTAAAACTTCACACACGCTTGGAGAATTGTTTTTTAACCATGGTAATATGGGTATCTTTGCATTACAATACTCCAAGTCAGGAATATCAGAAAATAATACGCTGAAGATATTCGTCAGTAGGATCTGTTGTCCACTTAGATTCCATATGCCCCGTGACTCGTCCTCGCATCATGTGCGTTCCCGCCTCAATACTCCAAGTCTCGTGCTTCCGAATGCCTTGTTCCTCTTAAATGCAAGTCTTATGCACACTGAAACAAACCAATACCTTCTCCCAAGTCTTTTTGGTCAGTTGCCCCTCCTTGAACGCCTCCGGCCTACTCTCTAGTACTACCACACCTCTATGGTGCGATAGCGAGTCTTGGCGGAAAAGGAGAAAAATCAAAAATCAAAAATGCAAGGACCCAATTCGAAATATGAATAAGACAGAGATCCAACTCCAGCGGCCTCTTGTCGTTGCTTTGGACAGGACCGCATGCGGTTGACAAGCTTCATGCGAACGCAGCCTCTATGGGCGTTATCCTACTCAAGCCAGGGGCGTGGCCTCAGGAGTAGGTGGTGCGTTGTACATCGTAACCAATTCCTTCACCTTGGGCAGCAAGTCTGGTATTCTGAAAGGCTTCGAAATCACGTCGTCCTGGGTCATCATGTTAGTCAAGTTCGATATGTGCAGTTTGTGGGCCCACTCACGATACCGGCGGCTTTCGCGCTTTCAATCTGCTCTGGCCGCGCGTATGCCGTGACAGCGATGATGGGTATGTGTCTAGTCAGGGTGCCTTCCCTCTCCAATTCACGGATACGCTTCGTGCACGTGATTCCGTCCATGACCGGCATCTCCAGGTCCATAAGAATGACGCTAAGATCAAAGCCCTCAGCTTCGTTGCCAGCCCAAAAACGGGACTTCTTGAGTTGTTCAACGGCCTCGCCTCCGTGATTGGCGACATGTGTAGTGTTGCCACAGCTTGTGAGTTGCTTCCGCAGAACTCTTTGATTGACAATATTGTCCTCCACAATCAAAACATCGTACAGCGGCGTCGCAGTGACCACCGGCTTCTTGATGGAAGCCCTCCTAGGTAAGGTTGTGATTGGAGGCGTCGATGGTGCGGAAGTTGGCTCGCTCTTGGTAGGTTGCGCCAAGTTGAGCGCCGAGAGAGACGGCGACTCCAAACTAGGGGATTCCGTCTTGCGACACTTGACGTAGAACGCGAAAGTGCTGCCGATTCCCTTCTCGGAAACAACACCAATCTGCCCCCCCTGTAGTTCGGCAAGCATGCGAGAGATGAAGAGACCGAGTCCTGAGCCACCATATTGCACGTGGGTACGGGGTGAGGCCTGAGAGAACCGCTGGAAGAGTAGCTTTTTCTCGTCTTCACGAAGACCAGGGCCTGTGTCTTGGACTGAGAAATGGAGGTTAATTTCCTCTCCTGTGCCCCAATCCTTCTCCTGGGTCAAAGCCCGAACGTCCTCCTTCTCTTTGCGGGTTGGGAAGAACGACACTCCTTTTTCGGTAACCTCGGTGATGTTCTTGGATGCGCTCATCTTCATGGTGATCTCGCGTTTCTCGCGACCTTGGGTGAATTTGATGGCGTTGGTCATGAGGTTGATCAGAACCTGTCTCAGCCTAGATGGGTCCAACCTGACCCAGTCGACAGCGTGAGTGTTATATGCTTTGTCTACTGAGAAATCCAGCTTGATCTCGTGTGTGTTCAATTCCGACTCAAACATCTTGATGACGTGTTTGACAATCGTGACCGGGTGCGAATCAACGGGTGTCACAAGTAGAAGTTGCGAATCAAGCTTCGAGAGGGTGAGCACGTCATCGACAATACGTTTCTGATGGCTGGCGCAGAGGTTGATGGTGCTGGCAGCTTCGGTGCAGCTTTCCAATAGGGTGTCGAGTTGTGTCGAATCCTGCGGTTGAGCGCGGTACTCTGTGATACTGTTGACAATTTCATCAGCACACTGGAGGACAGCACTCAATGGATTCCGCATTTCGTGACTCGTGATGTCGATGAAGTTTTCTTGTTGGCGTTTGAGCTCGACTGCCTCTTCTCTGCGTTGCTTCTGGAAATCTTCAGCCCATTTTTGAGGCGAAATATCGGTGATGCAACCAAAGATACTCTTCAGGTCGCCCTCTTGAGTCTGTTCTGGGAAAGCACTCATCAGGACCCAGGTATCGATGGTGTTCATTCCGTTCTGGCGGCTGCACTTGAACCTGAACTCAATGGTGATTGCTTCCTTGTCTTCAATGAGTTTTCTCCAAGCAAGTTCGACGCCCGAGCGGTCTTCGTCCCTCACACTTTGCATCCATGTGTTGACACTATCCTCTGTTCTGGGATGCCTCGAAATTTGCCACCACATGTCGTTGGCAAAGTTGATGAGACCCTTGTCATTAGCAATGAACATACCGACCGGTGCGAATTCTGCCATTCGCGAGAATTTGTATTCGCTTTCGACTGCCTCTTGTGTCCTCAAATAGAGTTCCATTTGCAATTCTTGACGATCCATGGCGGCCAAGCGAGCAGCCCTCTGTCCTCGTTTGATCTCCTCTTCGAAAAGCACAACCGATGCCATAGAAGTCGCAAGTTGTCTCGACAAGAGATGAATAAAAAGCTGATAGTCTTCGTCATAGGGTCGACGGGGATTGGTGCCCAAGACGATGAAGCCAACGACAGATTCGCCGGCTGTGGTTGGGTGGACGGGCAAGATAACGATAGTCTTACTTGGGTCACCGAAGCCTCGCCATGCCAAGCCTTCAAGCAGCTTTGTTGGCAGGTTGCCAGCTTCTGACGAGAGAATAATGGGTGCACCTTGCATCGTCATAGACTGGCGCATATAGGGAGCGAAGCCATCGTCTGATGACTTGAGGTCGAGCTGGGAAAGCCCAGCTGGGTGTCCCTCTGGGACGCCCAAGCTGCCTTCGAGGTGTAATAATGGTGGGTGTGCTATGCTTCCAGAGTGCATAGAAGATACTTCACTCTCGCTATTGTCGTCCTTCACGGAGTAGATGAGAGCAAAAGGTACGTCCAAGTCGTTGAACTCCAATCCTTCTTTCACCCGCGGCCAGAAGCTCCTGACGTCCTTAGCAGCTGCTGTCTTCTCGCCTACCTCTCGTAAAGTCAACATCCGGCGTTCGTTGACCTTGCGGCGGGTGTTTTCAAAAGCCGGATTATAGAGTCCAACCACCTGACCATCGGAGCCCAGTAATGGGATGATTGACCATGAAAAGAACGTCTCCTCGAGGAATCCGTGTCGAAGGATGAATAGCTGGTTGTCGTTCTTCATGATTGACTGTCCATTTGACCAAGCGTTGTTGAATAGAGGTTCGATATCCGACCAGATCTCTTTCCACGCGTCCTGATACCGCATGCCCATGAGTTGAGGATGCTTTTGTCCGGCAAGCTCAATGTAGGCCTCGTTGTAGATGGCAACATTGTCCCGTCCCCAGTACATGGCCGCAGGGTGGGGACTACCCATAACCATGTTGGCCATGGCCCTCAATTCCGAACTCCAGTGCTCCAACGGACCCAATGGTGTGGAGGCCCAATCAGTGTTGCGACAGAATAGGATGTGTTCACTCAAATCCGGGGTCGTTTGAATGCGGGTCCAGTCGAATGATGGCCTCATCATCGCTGCTTGAAAGACCTGTTGGGTAAACTCATCGGTGTGGTACTTCTCACCACTGTCTATCATCACACAATCGTCAACGACAATTGGTGTGTCATTTATCTCATGCGGCTCCCCTTCCATATCACCAAAGTAATCGGGTTCGTCATCCATGGGTACAATTGATGGCTGATTTGGTGTCGGGCCTCTACTCCGCTGTTCCAGCACCGCTGATTCATCGGCCAACGGAACCGGGGAGTCTGCTGGTGCTGATACGGCGCTAGCGTTGCCGCTCACGAAGCGAAATCGTTTGCGCAAGGTCGAGCATGTCCATGTGATGCCGCCATAGCTGTGAGAAGGGAGGCAAACGTCAAGGGATTTATGATTAAAGACAAAGCTCGTGGCCCACGTTTTGAAGTGGATATAGTCGGGGTTCTTGATGACATCGTCACCCTCCACAGAAAGTAATTCCAAGACACCCACGGAAGCCCTGAGCGCCGCATTGGCGTATAACAAATGCAGTCCCGATTTTTGCGCGTTGACAGGATTCGCGAGGTCGATGATGAAAGTTGGACGCTCATCCTGTTCCAAAAGTTCAATCACACCGACTCCTCTCAAGATTTGCAGCCCTTGAGGAAGATGCTGGCTATTGGGGCTCTTTGAAGAGGTGAGGGTGGCGTCTGCAGAAGATAGACTACTGCTCCCTGGCGTGCTCCCAGATCTAGCTGATGTTGGTGCATGAACTGTTCCGCGGGGTAGGCGAACAGTGTGAACGCGGTCTTGGTCCTCCCTCAGACGAGCTAACAGGACGGCAGCAGCGTCCGAGGGAGGGAGAGCAGCTGGTTGAGGCGGCATCTGTCGTTTGTTGTTTGAGGAAAAGAACAGAGGGGAGACTACCCCTTGGTTGTGCCTAGCCAGAATGACCGACGCAGTTGGTTGTTTTGGCAGCTTAATGTGCCCCGGTGGCCCCAATCGAGTTCGCGCCTTCTTCAGAGGTGACGGGTTCGGTCGTTCGTGTGCGTTTTCGTCGTCGGATAGGCGCTTCCCGTTTGACGTTGAAGGTCTCGACAGATGGGTAGATTCTGTAAACGACCTGATAGTCGGAGAAGTCGGGTCCGACCTGGGGGTCAGGAGCGTCTTAGACGCAGCGTCGAATGAGGAATCGCAGGTAGTGTCGCTATACGTCAAACCATACCGACTAATGTCGGGAGTTGTCCATGACCCTCTGGGGCTCAATGTCGTCGAGGTTGGCGAGGCGAGATGGTAACGTGGGTTACTTGACTGTGGCTGTGAACCCGATCGCTTGTGGTTGACGTTCGTGGTGGAAAAAGAAGTAGAAGCCTCGGGTATCGCGGCGGCGTTAGTGGCTACGGCAGCGAACGGGTCCGCCGTCGTCGGTCTGGTCGTCGTCGTCCTCGTCGTCGGGTTCGTTGCCGTGGTCGTGGGTGTGGTGATGTTTCCGGGGGCGTGGTAGGGTCGGTGTGTCGAGGGCAACGGGGGAGCGAGGAGTCGTATGGTGGATTGGGGGAAGCGATCGTCGCCCTGCGGCATGAATGCGCGGGGGGAGGGAGTGAAGATGAGGTGCGGCCGAGAGAGTCGGTCCGTTCTAGAAATTTTCGTCTCGGGCCTCCTTCTCTATGGTTGTCTTCCCCTGCCGAAACTAAATTGATTCCTTTTTAGCGACGGCGGAGACGGGAGTGAAGCAAGTGCAGAAGTAGAGGCGCACAGCAAGCACAGACACAGTGGACGATGACACGGGGGGAAGCGGGAGCAGCAGTTTGCAGGCCACGAGTGAGCGAGCGCAAGCCCAGGTGCCGCGGGAAGGGAAAGGCTTAGGCGGGCAACGCTACCTTAGTCAGGTAAGGTAGGTATCCGTAGGTAGGTGAAATTCGGGTATTCCCACTTCAGAGGAGAGAGGGAGGGGAGCAGTGAGCTAGCGGTAAGGAAAATAGAAGAAGAAGAAAACACCGACAGGGAGATGCCAGACCAGACGGGCGCTGTGTGCTTTGCTAGCTGAGCTTGCAACCGGGGTACAGGTGGGAGACGAGCGAGGCGGGATTGGGGATCGAGACAGAGCGAGGGTTTGACGGGCCCGGGCCATAAACAGGAAGGGGGAAGGCCTGCAGCAAAAAGAGTCTGGAAGGGACGGACGCCTGGGTTGGGATTTGGGGAAGGGGAATGACTGGGAACATGCGGGCTTGATCGGGGCGCGCCTGAACAGGGTAGGCAAGGTGGGTTCGAGTAAGGTGGGATTGAGTCTTGAGCCTTGAGGTGCAAGTACGACGGATACAGCCAGCGACTGGGGTGATGGGTGATGGGGATTTTGGGGGTTGGAGACGAAGGTTCCATAGGGACTGTACGGAGTCCTGTCGACTGGATACCTACCTTAGGCAAGGTTGGTTCGGTGCAGTCGGTGCAAGATGAAAGCAAAGTAGGCGGATGGCAGCAGGGCTGTACGAAGAAAGGGGACAATAATGGCTTGTTGGACTTGGAAGGCGACAGTGGGACTGCCACTATCGCAGCCACAGAGACGAGACGGCCGGAATAGTAGCCCAAAAGTTGTGGGATGGTCAACCGGAAAATACTCCGAAGGCGTGTCATCGTCAATCTAGGTCTGGCAGTCCGAACTTTGGGAGGGTGCCACCACTACGGCAGCCGCCGTTGAGTGTCATAAGGCATGAGGGACGGCAGAAGCAAACGATCAAGTGCCGTGACTAGAAGGGAGTAGAAGGAAAGAGATGAATTACCAGGATGAGGATGAATGCGATCCAGGGTGTACCTGTAATCTACACCACACACGAGGTGCGGTGTATGAGATTGATGATGGCACGGGCGAATGTGATGGTTCTGAAGCTACTGGACCTTAAGCGCAGCGGAGGGGAACTGGTGCTGCTGTGAGGCGTAGCTGCGAAAGTGCCTTCAAACGTGCTTCGTGCCGTTCTGGTCAGGTTGCGGTAAGCCGCAAGACGAGAAAGCAAGGTCAAGGCCCGTAGAGGTCGGAGCGGTAAAGGAAGGCAGGTGGCCCGTCGAGGACGATTTGAGGTGTGAGTGAGGCGTAAGGCGAGCGAGCGGCTGACGATGCGATGGCTCTGTGATGTGCTCTGGTGGTCTGGTCTGGTGGTTTGCTGCTAGGTACTGACTGGACAGCTCTGCGATGCCGCGTTATGGTGATTGCGTTTCCGATGGTTGGAGTAAGAAGATGTACGTGGAGATCGAGGACGCAGGATGGAATCGACAGATGGCGCTGAAAGGCGAGATGGGAATCTCGATGTCGAAAGAGGAGTCAGTGCGAGGGCACGCCGTGTATTGGTTAATGTTGGGGGAACCGTCTGTCCTTCTTCTCTCCTGGTTTGGTCCGATTTAGGGCCTTTGGGACTTGGACCGGATTGGAATGGTCTCGCGAAAGAATAAAAATAAAAATAAAATAAAAAAGGCTGAGATACGGCGCCGGGGGGTGGACTACTAGTAGCTATTACTGTATGTGGGTGGGCATGATTATACGAATGGATCTAATGTGTGAGGTGGGAGTCTAGAAGACCAACAAACTGCAGAGGACCTTGCAGAAGGACGTATGTACGGATGGAGTACGTCGACTCCTTTCTTGGCAGCTGGCAGTGACAGAAACGGGAACGATGTGCGACTGGAGGTCTGGTCAGGCTGTGAGTATCCGTCAGGGAAGGTACTAATTCGAGGGCCGAGGCGGTATAGCGGATTGGGGGTTCGGGGTCTACGGAAGGGACCAGAAAAAGAAAAGAAAAACAAAGACGTGGGAGTCTGGGACTGGGAAGAGTAAATTGGACAAGAAACGAAAGTGCATGACGAGAGGTATGAGCCATGAGTTGGAATTATCAAACAAATGGGAACTGTACCCTTGATGCTTTTTCATGCCTGCCTTCCAGTCCTTCCAGCGGGACTATCCCGCTGCGGAACTCCTTCCTTCCCGTTCATTCTTGCCAACTCGAGGTCGTCCCCTACTTCCTTCCTTCCCTTTGCTTTCTCGCTTGATACGGTAGGTACGGACGGCATCGTGTACTTCCGTACCTTAGCTACATTACTACCAAAAGCCACCAGAATCGATATATTCGATAATGCCATCTGCTTCGTCTCACTACCTTACCTAGGTACCTTACCTTACCCTTGCTTACTTCCATCACGATTGACACTGGCAAATACATATACTCCCACACACGCATACTCCATATGCATCTATGCATCTCATCTGATCCTTCTTCCTGGGTAGCTCACCTAGTCGACGACAGCACTGACGGAAGCAACAGTAATAAACGTGAAGAATGAAGGCTCCTCGATCTCAAGGGACTACTAGTGGGCCACAGAGCGATGACAAGATATGAGTTATGTGCCGGTGTATACCTATGCAAGCTCGCCCGTTGCGCTCACAAAGGCAGCCCTCTCTCTGCACATGTGAGGAACAACCTAAAATGGGTGTGAGGAATCAAAAAGAAAGGGCGGATGGGATGAAGGCTCAGGCGGAGAACTGGGACTGGGGGCGGAGCTGTCGGCTTGTATCCGCACTTTGTAGCCCATGGACCACACTGCAGGCACGCCGCACAGCTGGGGCCTGGGGGTGGTGGTGGTGGTGGTGGCATTGTGGATAGACGGCAGCGTGGTATTTTGGACCCGGGTCTGGAATCTCTGGATTTCTTGGGTTCTGCGCCTTGGCCAAGACATTGCTCCCACTCCAACCTTGGCCTTGCTGCTTCCAGACATGGACACTCCCAGTTCCACACCAGGCATCAGACGACCTAGCCAACTTCATCTGCTTTACCTCATGCCAATTGCCAACCCAGCCGCAACTCAGTGACCTTCTTCACCATTGGAACTTTGCAACTATGGAGTGTGTGTGCATCACCGGCAGTGTCTGATTTTCTCCCAAGACAAGTACAAGTCGAATCGTGACAAAATCTGCAGCCTTCGTATCTCTACGAATGACCCTAAGGCCTACGCAGTAATGTGAGGTTTCGATGTCCACCAAAAGGCCCAAGCTTGGCCCACCTCAGTTTCCCATTCCGCGTCTAGAGAGTTGGAGATTTACAACACCTTAATAGATACACAGATGCTGATATCTTGCGTAGATCTCTGATTCCACGGCATACAGATGTTTTCGATGCAACATGGAGAGCAATATGCGCCGGCAGAATGGCCTTCTTGATCTTTCCACAAGGCCGGGCAACGGCTTGCGTATCTCGCTCTTTCCATCTACTCCACCTCACAGGAATGCATCCTAGTAGGTGGGCGCAGCTTCTTTTAAGTCATCTGGAAACGAAACGGGAAGCAACGACAAGAAAGAAACCAACGCGGCGCACATTTCCAATGTAAACAGACCCGAGGCCCGTCCGCTTCTGTCCTCGCGGCTTCTCGCTTCGCCCCGTGGTTCTGCGGGCTGCCTGCATATCCCGCGCAACTGCCATGCCATGCCGTTATTCCCTGTCATTACCTATTCATTACGGAGTACTGGGCGACGAGAAAGAATGAAAGCTGCAGACGGCGATCAACGCTTGTATCAAGATAGGTTCTCAAGCGGCAAGCCAGGTACCCGCCGAGCTTTCCGTGACGCCCGGCACTTGGCAGAGGGCATACGTCAGTCCGAGTCAATCTGGTGCATGCCCACGATAAATCGTGTGTGTGCTTAAGGTAGGTTGTCTCTCGCATTCAATCAAAGAAAATGGTTTTGAACATTCCACAAGCGTAGCCGAAAAAGTTGCGCCGTCGTCAGTAACGGCGTAGATGCAGCAAAGCGAACCCGACGGATGGCTTCGAAATATCCGGATGGGAAAGAGCCAACAACGAGCCAAGCATTGGGATTGGATCAATGGATCAATGGATCCGAGAGGGTACCCCACTCCACACGCCCCAGGCCAGGGCAGGGTTTCGCTCAGTATAGGTATCCACAAGTAGGTACTAGGGCACTTCGTACCAGAAGGGAAAGAGCCCTGGTCATCCGCTCTCCCCTGTCGGTCTCGAACTGGCGCGGTCCAGACCGTGGTCGCCCCCACCCCGAGCTCGCCGATCGACGATCGTCACCTGCCATTACCATTGGCCCCAATCCGGAAGGAAGCTCCTGTCAGTTCTGTCAGTCTCTTGTCAGGAAGCAGTCACAGCTCACTCAACTTCCACGTCGTTGGATGGCATTGCAGACGCAGACGCAGGCAACTCCAGTAGTTGTCAAGTAGTCTTTTCTTTTCCGAATGCTGCGGCTCGTCGCTCCCAACCTGTCCGCCGCAACAACCCAAGAGTGTGAATCTCACATTTTGACATGTCAACACCCAACTCCGGATACTTGCCTACCAACTGATTACCATCTCCGACGCCAGCCCACAGATCAACGTTCAGCAGCATTGCGGCATGGGTCTTTCAATTTGTCTCAGTTTCTGTTTGCATCCGGGCATTACTTTCGAACTTTGATCTCCTTACCCCAGAGACGAGGTGCCAGTTGGCGAAAGAAGAAGCAGAAGAAGCATTCAACACAACCTGGAATACTCTATCAATCTCTGCACCAACCGTCTTCGACCAAAACACCTTCCCGTCGCCCTCGTACTGTTCAGGGGGGGGGGGGAGGACAAGATAGTAGCGCCTCTATCCGTACTCTCCTGCGCCTAGTGCCTCTCCTGCGTCCATAGCAGTGGCGCCGCTGCCACCCCAAAGCAGTCATCATACGATGACGCCGACCTACTGCTGTCTGTGCCGGGCTCCGTGCGGAAGACTAAGCCGGCCGGGCTATACATTTAGCAACTGTCCCGGCACTTGGCCTCGCATTCCGTCATTGCGAAATACTTTCTCGAACTAGACAAGCAGAGATGTGGCTTACATACTCACGACTGAACCACTGAACCAACAGTGTTGATCGCCATGCAGGGTGGCTCAAGGGCTTCACTATCTCCTTGGCGCCAAGAATGTGAAAGACCGTGGATCCGCGAGGCTGTCGCACATTGTTCCCCGAACGAGGCAACGTTGGATTTCAGACTCTCCAAGTCTCACCTCGGATCCGGGCACCACCCCGAGTCGCGAGTGTCGTTGAAGGGATACAAAACTGCATTCCCAACCAGGGAATATGCGCTATGCATTCGAACCCGCGCGGGATCCCTTCCCTTTCAACATCTTTCACGACCTTGTCTCGATCAAGATATATGGTGACAGATGGTGTCTTTCCTCCATCCATCCCACACGTCTTGTCCCCGACCTGTATCCCTGCCACGTCAAATGTCACTCGTCTCGGTCGGCCCTCCCATTGGATGCTCCGCCAAGGGAAGGAATGCTTATAAACCCTCCGGACGACTTATCCCGCTGTGCGATCCGTGATACTCGCTCAATGACCAACCAATTGCTCATTTCCATGAGTTGCTCGCAAAACTACGAGACAGCGAGGTTCATGTCTAGCATTTGGATTTGCGTTGGTCGAAAGAGTCGAACATTGGTCTTATCATTGTCTCCTGATCCTTAACAACGCATGCCACGAATCCAACGGTACTTTTTGCAATCTGAGCAGGCCAGTCATTTTCGGCAACGTATTTGATAGTCGCGGACAGCATACACCTGATCATGTGTGTTGTCAAACGGCTTCGTTCCGTTGATCATAACGCAAGGAGTAGCGGTCTCACGGTCTCAATCACCTTTTAATGCCAGTCGGAGTTGCGGGGATCACAATCCTGATGTGAGATATGCAGCATTCCTCGCTTTAAGTGAAGGATAGGTATGCTCTCTGGACCATCGCGAGGAACATTGTCTCGTTTCAAACCTCCCTCTGTACGCATGGGATTCTCATTTCCGATCCAACGACCAGTCGCCTTCGGCTCCGACCGAGTGTAGTTTCATGGATAATCCGATCATCTTTCCATCAGTGACGCAGCTATTCATCGATAGACGCAATATCTGTCACCGGTCCGACTTTGTTGCCAGGCAGCCAGATATACGGATCGTCGCAGTCCAAGACGCAAACACCCGGCATTTGTGGCTGTTGGCGAGCAGAGTTGAGCGGTCCGCATGGTTCGTCCGATTGATCTGCGTGCACGCTTGTCAAGTCTAGTTTGACAGCTCAAACCTTGCTGAAGACTCGATTATAAGTCAAACGACACGATCGACATTGATGGGCAGTGGCGATACACGTTCGCAGCCAAGACTAAGGATTGAAGAACCTGGTGGGCCCAAAATCGCATTCTTTTCTCGTGGGAGTTTCCCATCCCTCTCTTTCCCTCTATTAATATCTCTTTGGGAACCGCATCCTCCTCCACTGCCGGCAGATCAGATCGTCGCTCACATAAGCTCAAAAAAGCCCGCAAGCGTGGGATGCGCCCACTCGTGCAACTGCACTTCAGCCTGTCTTACACTCCTCCGTCATCGCCAGAGACAGAACAAAGAATTATTTTCGATCGACCAGCACACCGGCTGAACGAGCGAATACATGTAGTATGTAGTGCATACTGTCTGCTTGATGTTTCGCAACACTTGCTGGCTGGCATACATGGACATCAAGCAGAATACGACCTGCTCGGGTTGTTGGTTAATCCAGCCGATTACCTCCCGGTCGTACCTTACCTTACCTGAGTTACGAAGTGCCAAGGTATTCCTCAACGTGCCTCTGACGGTGCCGGCTTTTCGGATCCGGATATCGTGGGAAGACCCCCCCAACGGGCGCTTATCATCACGTACCCCATGCGCGGTTCCAGCATCATCCCAATCACGTTGTTGGTTTCAATTTCCGGGACATGAAGCGCTCATCGTCGTGTGTCGTGTCTACTGCAGAGTGAGAGGACAAGTTTGCTGACTTTTCTTGCTGGTGTCCTGCCGCATCTGCTGTTGCATGGCACCAGCATGGCACGAACAAGCTGATCTCAGCTTGCTCACCCACCTATTCCGTACTGCAGTATGTGCAATCCAACATGGCCAACCAACTTCCCATTCACCGGCCAATCCCATTGGCAATCAATATTGCAACAGCAGTGGCCCCCGAAGCCCCCCTGCTCTCATCGAGGCGGGTATTGTGCGCAACGTCGCATCTTGCCGCCCCCATTGGCTCATCCGCACGGGGGCCGACCAATTGAACGGCCCCTCTCGAACTCGGCGCTTAGCATCCCTCGTCACCTCCGCTCCTCATTGGACATCCCCGTTGTGACGGCGCACCGTCGGTCAACCACGGCACATGCAGCTCAGCGACCCTTTCAACCCCCATTGCCCTGAGCTTACCCGGCCACCCGCCCGCCTGGCCCCCCTCTTTGGACAGGTGAATGGCGATGAATGAATGGAGCAAATGGGCGGCGGCGAATGGCTTGACCTGCAGAAGGGAGGGAGATATGGCCCTTAAACTGCCACCCTGCCCTCATCCGACCCATTGAGAGGCTCGTTCTTCCTTCTTAGTCCTTTTTCTCACTCTTCACTTTCATTGAAGATTCGGCCTCCTGTCGAAACGACGAGGACGACAGTAAAGCTCGAATCCCGCAACTCGGATCCCGCGGCTCTTCTTATTGCGTTCGAGTGCTGGGTGCTTGGCCAATGTGATATCCTATTGTTTGCTTTGGCGAACAACTACGCCCAGGAAGAAAAGGAACTCACTTTCAGCCCCCAAAAATCTTGGCAGAGGGAAACAGAGAGGGGAGAAAGTGTCAACCCACGGCTCATCAAGAGGGCAACCCCCAAAGGCGACACGAGCACTGACACACTTCACGTCAAACACGCCTACACCATAAGGGACGGAGGAGAGAAGAAGAAGACGACGACGAGAAGATGACGTACAAGATCTTGCACAGGAAATGGCTGCTGCGAAAATGGATGTGGACGCTCATGCCGCTGGAGTTGGCCGGCCTCGTTCCGCTCCTCGTCCTCTTCGGCATCGCGCAGCCGGACCTCTACCGGACCAAACTCTGGGAGGTTGGCCACGCCTACGGCTTCAACTCGAACCCAAAGATGATTCTCTACGCCTACGCAAACTATGAGCCATACCCCAAGGTCCCCTTTGTATGGACACGAACGTGAGTCCTCGCCGCACCCTGTTCCCTTCTATCAAAAGACCATTACAACTAAACTGTTGAAATTTATAGGCTCACAGACTTCAACGTCGCCATCTCGGTAATCACCCTCTTCCTCCTCCTCACCAAACTCGTCGCCTTCATTATGAAGTTCTGGTTCCCCCTCCTCGCCGCCGGCATCAACGTCGCCATGGTCGCCCTCTACACCGTCTCCGTCTACGGTCAAATGGGACCCGACCACGCCGACCCGCGCTACCCGTCCTCCATCGCCTGGTACGTCGCCAAGTCGTGCGACTACGCCCGCCCCTTTAGCGCCTACAAGAGCTGCCAGCTCGCAAAGGGCACCTTCGCCGTCACGGTCTACATGCTCGCGCTCTACCTCGCCAACTTGGGCATCGCGCTGTATGTGCTTTGGCCGAACGCGGGCGATAAAGTGGATGGTGACGAGGACGAGGATGGCAAGGGCAGCGACGGCAGCTCGCCGGTGGATTATGCGAAGGAGGGGAGGGAGTGGGAGATGAGGGATTGGCATGCCAAGGGCGGGCCGGCGAGTCCGCGGGTCGGGGTTGTGCCGTATACGCCCAGGACGCAGGCTTTCCATACGCTTGATAGGAAGTTGCCGTTGAGGCAGCAGTATGGCTAAGGGGGGGATGATGCATGGGTGGAGGGGAATGAGAAGATTATATGGCAAGACGGAAAGATTTCAAATATCTGGATGATGGATGACGGCGACTGAGAAGAATATTACCTTCTCTACAATCTACAGAAGGCGCTGGCGTGGGTTTTACTTTACTATCTCATTGTCTATATACATTTCCATTTTAATGTTGATATCCCACCTATCGAATGAAGTTATACGTTCGAGAGTAACAAGGAAAACACAACTCTTCACTTCGAGTTTATAGGCCCTTGAATTCATTAAGTAACTAACTCGAACCTTTTGAAGTAAGGCGTATAACACTTATTACGCATTCCGTCTAATCGACGAGAGGATTATATGCCCTCTCCTCACGTAACGCACCCTCCTAGGCAATTCCACCCATCTAGGAAATGTATGTACGTTGCCGTTTCTCAATAGTATACCTAATGGATAGCAATAGAACGACTTGATTCATCTCTCATGTTCACCTGAAAACGGACCACAAGGTCGTCATTTGATGACTTTCTAGCTCCCCTTCAAACGACGCCTTCGTGGCCTCACGCCTCGGCTCGAGCTGATTCCACGCTAAGTGGCCGGCATCATCTCATATGAGAAAGCTTAGAGGGCGTCAACCAGCTGCTGCGAGTCCACAATCAACGGCAGTATACACCAAAACGAGCCAATCGCTATTTGAATGGGTAGGACGGGAAGAAAAAAAAGCTTTTATTCTCAACGCCTCCTTGAAGACGGAACCCTCCTCCCTTAGTCATCGATACCGCCCCATTCGGCGCCAGCCTCTTCATCACCCACCCTCCGCGCATTCTTAATCCGTATCTTATTGGCGGCCGTAGCCCCCTCCCTATTTGCATCCTTGCGTCTCTCCCACTTACTCTTTGACGAAATCATGGCCGCCCCGTGGCTCCGCCTGGCCTCGACGCCCTTTTCCCGAATCTTCTTCTTGTCCTCCTTGCTGACATTCGGCAGCGCGTCGAGCAGCCACTTTTGCACGTTGGCCTCGTCGCCCTTCTTGCCCGCCTGCCTCTCGCTCGCGGCGATGACGTTGGCGACCGTCTTGACAAAGGGGATGTCGTCCGTCGTGTAAAACGTCACGGCGACGCCGCCCTCGCGACCCGCGCGGCCGGTTCGTCCCGCGCGGTGGACGTACGCGGCGCTCGAGCCCGGCACATCGTAGTTTACGACGCCGTTGACGCCGGCGAAATCCACGCCGCGCGCGAGCACGTCCGTCGTGATGAGGATCCAGATCTCGCCGGCGCGGAAGCGGCGCATGATGTTCGCGCGGGCCTTGTCAGCGAGGCCGCTGTGCAGGGCCGCGATTCTGGTGGGACCGCCGGCGGCGAGGGGGATATCGTATTTGAGTTCCTCTTCCAGGGCTGTGGCGCGCTCAATGGTCTGGGTGAAGACCAGGAATGGAGGTCGGAGAGGTGGGCCTGAGTCGTCTCCTGCTGTGGGGTGAAGGAGCTGGCGAAGACCTAATAGCTTTCCTTTCTCGGTTGCGGTGTAGATCAACTTGTGTGTGACGTTGGGGACGGCCGTGTCCTTCAGACCGACTACCAAGCGAATCAGCGGTTTGGATGCCGGTCTCGCCAACTGTGCCTCAGTCACCAAAGTCTCAATGTTGGACCCGAAAGTCGCAGACCAGAACGTAGTTCTCAGCTCCGGGTTAGGACAGGCGGACCAAATCGCCAAGGTCTGTTCGCGGAACAGGGGGTCCAATAACACATCCGCCTCGTCAAGAATCAGTGATGTGACAGTGGGAACTTTGCGGTCCGTCTTTGACGATGCCGTAAGGAAGTTGTAGAATAGTGCCGGTGTTGTGACGAGAATGTCGGTCTTCACGACGGACTTTGACTTGACCTGCTCGGTCTCGCTGTCCTCGTCCTCATCCTCATCATCTTCTGACTTCTCGCTCTCTCCCTCTTCCTCGCCGTCGTCCTCTTCGTCATCCCCGCTCTCGGCCTTGTCTTGTTCCTCGACTGCGAAGCGCATGCCCTTCTTCATGCCGGCGATCTTGATACCAGAATTCAAGGCCAGCTTGCGTCCCTCGTTCACAATCTGGAAAACTAGCTCTCTTGTCGGCGCAATGATTATCGCAGACAGGTCGTGCTTATCCTTGTCCTCGCTGGACTCTCTCTTGTGCATGATGGAGTTGATTGCGGGGATCAGGAAGCTGATCGTCTTTCCGCTGCCTGTCGGCGCAACCGCGAGGAAATCCACACCCTTTGAGACATCTCCAAGCTCCTCGTTATTGGGCACCTCCTTCAAGGCCAATTCTGGCTTCAGTAGCAAAGGCAAGGCGCCCAGCTGCACCTCGGTCGGCACCTTGAATCCCTGATGCGTGAGGTTGTCCGCCAGCAGCGGCGCAATGTTGTAGTTCGTCCGAAGCTCGCGGAAAGAAGCCAAGGGCTGCGGGTGCAGCTGGTTCGTCTCTTTCTCGACCTCGACAGCGACCTTCTTCTTCTTGTTCTTGGTCACCTTGGAGGCCTTCTTGTGGCGCTCAGAGAGTAGCGTGAGCTTCAGTCGGTGGGAGCGAAGGATCTGTCGGCACTCGTCCTCGGGGAGCAGAGTCGCCTTTTTAGAGGACACCTTGTCGGCCTTTTTGGCTTTCGCAGCGGACTGTTTGGCATTTTCGGATTCTTTGGGGGTTTCGGACTTGGGTGGCGCGAAGAAATCGACCTCGGGCAGTTGTTCCTCTTCCTTCTCTTCAACCTCTTCTTTGCCTCGCTTCCTCTTGTTGCCCCGCGTTGAAGACACCTCGTCGTGGAAAAGTTGGGGGTTCGTTCGGTTGCCGGCGGATGGCAGGTTAGCCGCTCCTTTGTTTGCGTTCTTGGCGCCCTTTGCAGGCTGCTTGATGCCGCGCGACAACACTTTGAGGATATCCATTGTTGATTTTGCAGTTTTCAAGTGGAAAAAGTCCCAAACTGGTCCGCCGGCTTTGCTGCAGTTGCGCGTGGTATGGAAATTTTAAAATGGGGACGCGGACCGTTCCCGCACAGTGTCTGCGCTGTGCGGAATCTTTGACTTTCGGGTTGATCAACCTCATCTCATGGACGTCAACTTCAATAGTGACAATGATCAGCCACTTGTAGAAGAGTTCATTGAAGTTGTTAAAACCTGGTACTTCCAGGCGCCAGATGACCTTTTTTCAAGACTTATGGATCGCTCTGGTTGCTTCTCTCAGCTCTTTCTTACTTCTTTAGAGTATCTTCACATGATGGAGTGGACTTACCTTGATTTCGTATTTGTCTACACGTAATCCGGTTAAGACCTAAAATGAAATGTCAACTGCTAAATGGCATGGGATGAATTAGAATTTTCTTGACTCGTACAATCTCTTGGACGTTATTTGGATGCTCTTGTTTTGTCTAGTAGTCTTCAGTAGGCTCTAGATCAGGCAGCTTGGCATGAGATCATGAAGGCCGCTCCAGCTTTGCTACTTTTTTACCAGAACATAGATTGATCGGAAGGGATGACCATCTGATCTCCATCGCTGCTTCAAAGTCCACAGGTAGGGAAAGGCGTTGCTGGAAATTGCTTTTCACGGCAAGCCATGAGTATGCAAGCCCGATGAGCTTCTGTTTCGAGTAGTGTAGCCGAGCCAAGCTTGATAAGAGGAGAAAGTGAGTATTTTACCAACGAGCACTTTTATAAGTGATCAGCTCTTCAGTGAAATCAAAAGACACTCAAGTTTTGAGATGCTTCAATGAGTTGAACTCCTTGGTCAAGCTGACAAGATGCCTCTTCGGAGCATCTTCCGAATACTTAGCAGCCTGTATATTCCTATGGCTTGCGTATTAAGTCAGTCTTTGCTGGTGAACTCATTCGAAGAAGACTAACAGCGCTCTCAATAGTCTACAGGTCTCTCTCGAACTTACCAGTGCTAATCACTAAGGGACGAGACCGCAGATTTGAACATATTCTAGTCCAACCATACATACTGCGCTGGGTGCTTTAGAATAATACATGCTGTCCTTTGAGGGTTTACCTGAATTTTGCTCAGGCCAGATCTGAGTAATGTAAATAAGAAAGCTTTGATAGTGTAGAATGCCAGTTTCCCGCTTCTTCAGTCGCTTCAAATGGACGCACATGCTCTTTAGGCGCCTAAAAGCTCCAAGATACGAATACCGTCAAAGTTCTTTCATTGCCCCCTTCAGCTTCATTTCTTAAAGCTACGAGTCCAAGATTGCCTTACTTGTCGTTCCCGTCGGTTTATTCTAGGCACATAAGTACGTAGAAAAGCTCATTCATTGCGGACACCTCTGTACATACTCGCCTTTGAGTAGTGTTCACTAACGTAAGCGTATCTCTTTGAGCCACAAATCCCTGATAGCAGGCACATAGCACCTACATTCACAATGTTCTTCTTATACGAGTGAAAGATTCTGTTGTGTGCGGTTAAGCCTTCCTTCATGGGCTGATGTTAAACCATAACTTAGGGATGAATCAAGTCAAAACGATGTGTCGTTCTTGTCAACAGTAGCGTGTGAAGGCAAAGCAAGACTGCAGTCCTCGATTGGAAGTCAGAAAGGATTCAGTATTTAAGCTGTCTCAAATGGCCATAAATGTCCCTATAGCAAGAATCTTCTTCGCGGCGTCGTTTCTTCTGCAGTACGCACTGAATCAGTCTACCTAGCATTGAGCATTAGTACTTTTGTGGTGCTTGTTGCTCTTTGTATTCATGTGCCCAGGTGAAGGTTGACGACCCTCGGCCAACCTCTTCGTCACCCTCGACGTATTCGTACCAGCTCAAAGAAAGAGCTAGGGCTAGTGCTAAAAGAGGGAAGATCTCTACCTTGGCCACCTGCCGTTACCTGTCATTGCCTGTCATTGCCTTACATCCCCAAGAACGAGAAATCGAGCGGTCCACAACCAGGACTACGTCGGCATCGACTCATACAGCACCAATGACTTGGCTTAGCTGCCGCAGAATCGGCTCTGTGCACAGACTATGAGCACCAGATGTTATGTGCCACGTTTCTACGTTG